CGCAACTTGCACAGTGTTTTTCAACTGAATGTGTCTACGTACGTCGAGTGACTATTGTGATGTTTTTAACACGACACGCGCGCGCTCGTGCTCGCGCAAGTTAAGGTGACTGCCATTTGCGACGAACAGCTACTGTTTGGTTGAATTTTAATGGTTACGCCTCTCGCAATGATTAGTCGGTGCAGAATAAATCGAATACTTTGCATCGTAAACACTGTTTTCTTGCCTTTACAAAAAACGCAACATCCCTTTACTAAAGTATTTTGCGTTCTTCAATTGTAATGACATGCACGCTCTATCTGTTCGCGCAAGTTAACTCGCTGAATCCATCGGCTTAGGATGAAGTTTTCTTTTTGTTTCTCTAAATTAGGCTACATTCTCTAAAACCAGTGGGACTGTCTAAGTCAGAAGAACCTACAATCGGGAGAGATTAAAAATCTTAGGAGTGGACCTTATATTTTTGTGGGCTTGCGGGCATTTCTTTCTAAGCAGTAATTTTTTTTTTTCAGCGCGAGGTCGTGCGGGATATTTTTGTCGATTTGTTGTCTCTTTTACGTGACTCGCTGTGCTCAATTTCTTTGTCGATTTGTCCGAGGAACCTCGTGGGATGATGCAAACGTTGATTTTCAGTTTTGAAGATTTTTGAAGTTTATGTAAACCTAGTTCGCTTCGGAGACACTACATATCTTTACAGGGTTAAATTTCCGTCTGTAACGCAGACTAAGGTAAACCCGGATTTCGACTGAGGGTTTAANCGCAACTTGCACAGTGTTTTTCAACTGAATGTGTCTACGTACGTCGAGTGACTATTGTGATGTTTTTAACACGACACGCGCGCGCTCGTGCTCGCGCAAGTTAAGGTGATTGCCATTTGCGACGAGCAGCTACTGTTTGGTTGAATTTTAATGGTTACGCCTCTCGCAATGATTAGTCGGTACAGAATAAATCGAATACTTTGGATCGTAAACACTGTTTTCTTGCCTTTACAAAAAACGCAGCATCCCTTTACTAAAGTATTTTGCGTTCTTCAATTGTAATGACATGCACGCTCTATCTGTTCGCGCAAGTTAACTCGCTGAATCCATCGGCCTAGGATGAAGTTTTCTTTTTGTTTCTCTAAATTAGGCTGCATTCTCTAAAACCAGTGGGACTGTTTAAGTCAGAAGAACCTACAATCGGGAGAGATTAAAAATCTTAGGAGTGGACCTTATATTTTTGGGGGCTTGCGGGCATTTTTTTCTAAGCAATAATTTTTTTTTCAGCGCGAGGTCGTGCGGGATATTTTTGTCTATTTGTTGTCTCTTTTACGTGACTCGCTGTGCTCAATTTCTTTGTCGATTTGTCCGAGGAACCTCGTGGGTTGATGCAAACGCTGATTTTCAGTTTTGAAGATTTTTGAAGTTTATGTAAACCTAGTTCGCTTCGCAGACACTACATATCTTTACAGGGTTAAATTTCCGTCTGTAACGCAGACTAAGGTAAACCCGGATTTCGACTGAGGGTTTAATTAAGTAGTTTCCAAATGTCTCACTTAGGTGAATAATGCAGTGACAAGTGGAGTTTATGGCGTGACTGACGTTACACGCAGGAAGTTGAAAGCGTGACTAACATCACGTACACGAGCACACGATTATTGCAAGCGTAAATGGCATCACACAGGTTTTTGAAGGCGTGAGTGATAGAGGGTTGATGGCATGAACCGAGGGGATTGTTGTCGTGACTGACTTGACACACAGACGGTTGATTGGATATCGCAGTGGAAAGACTGCAAGAGTCTGAATGCAACGGTGAGTAATGACACACAAAAAAAACATAACACCCTGTCAATGGAATTACTACCGATAGGACAGGTGTCCAACTTATCAACAAAGTTTGCATCGATACTTAAATTTTCCTGACCCACAACGCCGTGATTTTTTCACTTTACAATGTAGATTATCCATAAAAACCTCAGAAGTGGACGTTCCCTTAAAAAGTTTATTTGCTGCAACAGAAATCAGATGCGGATATTTAGGATTCTATTCATTACATCATTTATCCGTTCTCCAAGTGGGGAATTGGGCCGACCACGTGCATGTGAAACGCTTACCAATTAATATTGTTTTTTAAGACTAATTAATGTGTTATTCTTAATTTCAGTGGCACGTTTTTTCACATGTCCAGAGATGACGCGGAAACCACAGCCGTCACGAGGTCAGTATTCTTGAACGCTAATGGAAAGGAAGTGTCTTTAAGCAGAATTGAAATAAGAATTTGTAGGAATTTTCTCGATTTGTTTCAAACCTCTATTATTTTAATAGGAGGGTGGATTTGGTGCGCGTGGCAGCCTTAACAACAAACTACACGTACTAAATGGGAAAGGGGAGAACCTGTTTTCTTTAAATCCCTTACTAAGGATTACATTTCAGTTACAAATTGCTAAAACATTTTCGGGGAATAGGTAGCTAGCCTTTCTGTTTTCAGACGAATGGATGCGATTAAATCTCGTTTTTGCCGGGCTCTTTGTCACTCTTCCAGTATTCCTATTTTGAGCATGGAATCCTCTTTTCTGATAATGTGAAATTCAACTGGTTGATATTCCATGCAGTCGTTTTAACGTCACTCTGTTACTGGCTTCTGGTATTCTTTTTACTGGCGAAATGTAAGTTTTGTGCTCCAGGGCTTTTTTCTTGTCGTCGCGTGTCATACCAAACGGTTTGTCATTCAATAAAGTCTTAAAGAGTTTTGAAATTATAGTTTGCACAGTAAACAAAAAACAAAATCGGTCACGTGGATATTTTTGTGACGTAGTTTCTTCTAGCAAACTTGAGCTCTTCAGTTTGTTCAGCGGCCTCCTACGCAGGCTTTCTTTGGGCTCGTCACGCAATCTTCCCCAGTAGGAGGCTATTAGTCCAGCTACTGTCACGTTTTAGCCCGGCCAAAGTATTCACTTAATGCTGAATTACACCCCTGACGTGCAGGCGGTCGGAGAAATTTCTAGTTAACAAAGGAGAGGTTTTTTTGTTTTGCTTTTAACCGTTGCTTGCTGTCTAATAAATGTTGAAAGGTGATTACAAACATTTGACAAGCGCGTCCGGGAAAAAAAGAAAAAAAATAGGAAAGAAGTTTCCGAGCTGTAATCGAATCTGTGGCTGTCTGGACTGAGGAGCCGCAATGATCTCCACTACACCACACAGACATACATGAAGCTCTCATGCAAATAGTTAACCAAATAGTATAGCGTAAGCTATGATTCGTCATTGGTTTTCAAAGAGAACCATTAAGCAATCATGATAGCTTGTTCATATATTTTGAATCCCTCTAAAACAAGATCGAAACATGCAAAAACATCAAAAATTTTGAGATAAAGTTATCATGAAAGCCAGTATCGCGCTAAAACAGAAAAATAAGCTTAAACAAACACCAAATTTCGATCAAAGTGCCGTCAAAATTAAACAGGCGTATATTTTTCCTTTATAAATGAATATGGTGCAGGATTTTCTGGCGGAAGCTCAGCGGGCCAGTTTTGCTTACTTTACATGGATTCTAAACTTCAGGAAAATAAAAGGCATTTCAGTTGTCTTAAAAAATAAAGCGAACAAGGAGACCCCAGGACCTTTCGATTCATTCTCAGTCGCTCATTGCCTCCCGGAAACTGCATTTACTTTTTTTACTTGTTCTTAGAGCAGTAACAAGCCATATCAATGCCCCTAGCCGTTAAAATAATAAATAGAGGCAGTGTTCACAGCAGAGGAATAAAAATCGTTGTTCCAGAAAGGAAGTGTCTTACTGGAGTCTCTCAAGCTTGGTCTCATAGGTCATGTGCGTGCGCCCCCCTTTATGTTAAACTATTATTCCTCAATATTTACGTTTTACAGGTGTTTCCTAAATGTTCCTTATGGGAAATTGTTTTCATTTATCTCAGGTATTCAGTCAAGAAAAGCAGTAAGGTCTGGACGAGCTGTTGATGATGTCATTTTGGGTTGATCATACACCACGTGTGTCTTAAAGTAACTTGCCGGTACGTTAATATATCTACCGTATGTACTAGATACAAGTTAGATATCTCTTGCTTCTGAGAATTTTTTTTTTTAACCGTGTTGTGTAGCAAAAACTAAATTTTTTTGGAGGAGTTGAAAATTTGAACTTGATAAATAATATTTTGCTACTGTAAAGGGACGGCAAAGGTTTGCAAGAACAAAACAGAAATGAGGATGGACAGGACTGGGAAAGATTTAGACCGATAACATTTCAAATCTGTAGATTCCTTATTTCACATGTTTCTGATGTAACTCCTTATCAGTACTAAGAGACCTATCACATTTTTCGTTATATATTTTTTTAAATACTCAGTTTGTTTCATTCTTTGGAAAAATGGGATTTTGCCTGTGCTTTTTCCCGTAACATGTATAATAGTGATGATAAGCTAAGGAAGAAATTATCGTTTGTTTACGTAAGGGAAGGTATTCCTTACATTGGCGATCTGAAATGTAACTTGTCTACACGGATTGAAAACTAGGACTTTTATTTTGGCCTGGTTAAAACATTGATATTTTTCCTGCTCAAGTTTCATTGGCTCTGTGTAAAAGAAAAAAAATACAATTTTCATTTCCTTAATCGAGTGGACAAGAGCTCTGAATTTTTCTTTCCTTAAAATAGTTGGTTTACAAGCCGAGACGGAAGTTTACCGATTTTTTAACAACAGACGTGACTGTTAATGATACAGAAAACCTGCGAAATTCAAAGTCATTCAAATTGTTTATTTCAATAACATCAACAATACATATGATAATACATATACATATCAGTTTAATTTACATGTTTTCGGCTCGGTTCGCGGCTCGGTTGCAGGGTTCTATCACGTTCATTTAGCTCATAGTCTAGTTCTACAACTACAGGTGAAGGCGATGGAGTGTTGTTTACAACAAACGGCAGGATAAAGCTTTACTGGATTTTGTTAATATTGCCGTTACACAACAAGGCCGCCGCTATCAGAGGAAAATAACAAAACGTTCGTAAAGTAAGGTTTTATTTTAATCATATCTTAAGAATATGGCTGCGGACATATGACGAAGAGTGTCGGAATTGGTTTTATTTAACTCTGATAACGAGTGCACTGTTGTTTATTGTACGCGAAAGAAATGTACACATTTTTATTGTATTCTCTTTGTAATAATATTACTAAATAAATTACTTTTATCACTCTACAAACTTATGTCAGTTTACTGAAAGTTATCCTTACAAGACTCTTTTGCAGATGCCTGACAAATGACGAGTCACAGAAAAGATAAAATTGGAAGGGCGGTAAAAACTGATGTTGAAAACCGCCACCTCCCCGCCACCACCACTAACTAGCATTTTTTATACTTCATAGCAAGAGTTTAGAGCTCCCATCCGTGTGGTACAGTGGCCTCTAATACGCATGCGTACTAGGTGAGTGCCTTATCTGTAAGACGTCGAGCATACTTTGTGTGGTACCTGTAAGTAACTGATAACTTCGTGTTGTGTAACCCGAAATTTGAACTTCGGTTTTAAACTTCGGGTTACACAACACGAAGTTACCAGTTACTTACAGTTACCCCACAGAGTATACTCGACTTCTTACAACTAAGACGCTCGCCTAGTACGCATGCGTATTAGAGGCTACAATACCACAAGGATGAGAACTCTTAAACCTTGTTATAAAGTATAAAAGAAATGCTAGTTAGTGGTGGTGG